CATGGGCCCAAGCTACGCCTGCCTCTTTGTAGGTTACGTGGAACAATGATGCCACCTGAAGGTTGCAGGAACAGCAACTCATATTCCGCTTGGGAACCCTGCAGCCCAGTGGTATCAATGTGGATTTCACAAGTTTCAAAATCTCCCCTCCCCCTACCGCATCCCAAAACCAGCCCAGCTCGTCCCTGCCTCCCTAACCTGTTCTTCCTCCCACCTATCCCCTCCTCCCACCTCAAGCCGCACCTCCATCTCCTACCGACCAACCTCATCCCGCCCCCTTGACCTGTCCGTCCTCCCTGGACTGACCTATCCCCTTCCTAACTCCCTACCTACACTCACCTTTACTGGCTCCATCCCCCCCTCTTCGACCTGTTTGTTTCCTCTCCACCTATCCTCTCCTCTATCCCTCTTCTGTCCGCCTCCCACTCTCTCCCTATTTATTTCAAAACCCCCTTCCCATCAACCAATGCATCTAATCACATTATCTGGACATTCACCTTATTGCTGTTAGTTTGCTGTATGTAACCCCTTATTGAATGAGATTTAGGTTTATTGTCACATGTATATAAAAATACAGTGAAAAGTGTTTTCTTGAGTGCAAAACGCAAAGTGTTGCCATCTTCAGACCTGTTCTGCAATGCAATTTGACAACGGCTGATCTTAGCCACAGCTATTCACTTAATTCCATAACCTTTGATACTCCTAAATGAAGCAATATCCTAGCTTCAACAGCTATTCTGTGCAGTTGGGGGTGGGTGGAATTAGCATTCCAGATTTCTTTGCGATTCCCAACCTGTATTTCATCTGCCACTTCCTTCCCCATTCTCCTGGCCTGTCCAAGTCCTTCTACAGCCTCCCTGCTTCCTCAACACTACGTGTCCCTTCACCTCTCTGTGTTATCTGAAAACTTAGCAATAATGCCCTCAGTTCCTTCATGAAGCTTGTTAATGTACAACGTAAATCGAGTCATAGAAGTATACAGCACATAAACAGGCCCTTTGGCCCACTCTGTCAATGTTGACTAGAATAGTTTTTGGTTCTGAAGTGGACCCATGCAGAATCGCCAGCTACCATCCTGAAAAAGACTCCTTTATTGTCACAGACAACAAGGTGCAGGGCTGGATGAACACAGCAGGCCAAGCAGCATCATAGGAGCAGAGAGGCTGACGTTTCGGGCCTAGACCCTTCATCAGAAAAGGGGGAGGGGAAGGGGGTTTTGAAATAAATAGGGAGAGAGTGGGAGGCGGATAGAAGAGGGATAGAGGAGAGGAAACAAACAGGTCGAAGAGGCGGGGATGGGGCCAGGAAAGGTGAGTGTAGGTAGGGAGTTAGGAAGGGGATATTGTCACTCTCTGCCTTCTGCCAGTCAGCGAATCCTCTATCCACCTGGTAACTTGCCCCTAACACCATGGCTTCTTATCTTATTTAGAAACCTT